CAGTGCAGTGCAGTGCAGTGGTGTGAGCTCAGCTCACCACAATCTTCACCTCCTGGGTTCAAGCGATTCCCCTGTTTCAGCTTCCTAAGTAGCTGGGATTACAGGCATGTGCCACCACACCCGGCTAATTTTTGTTTTGTTTTGTTTTTTGATATGGAGTTTCACTCTGTCACCCAGGCTGGAGTGCAAGGGCACGATCTTGGCTCACTGCAACCTCTGCCTCCTGGGTTCAAGCAATTCTCCTGCCTCAGCCTCCCAGTCACCCAGGCTGGAGTGCAAGGGCACGATCTTGGCTCACTGCAACCTCTGCCTCCTGAACCTCTGCCTCCTGGGTTCAAGCAATTCTCCTGCCTCAGCCTCCCAAGTAGCTGGGATTACAGGCACCCGCCACCACACCTAGCTAATTTTTATTTTCTGTAGAGATCTGGTTTCACCTTGTTGGCCAGGCTGGTCTTGAACTCCTGACCTTAGGTGATCCACTCACCTCAGCCTCCCAAAGTGCTGGGATTACAGGTGTGAGCCACTGTGCCCAGCCCAATCTTGCTTTCATATCCTACCATGACCACTTACCCTGCATTTCAAAGTCTTCATCTTTAAAATGGGGGGGAATATCTCATATTTAGCTATTAAGAGGAAGATAAAAATATACATAACGTGTCCGATGCCAATCCCACCACTTAGCAATAACTGCTGGATATCTCTTAGTATTCTCTACCTCCTTTTTCCAGAGTGCTTTCATTATGCCTAGCTCAGCCTGTAACAAAGAAATAAATTTTCCTTGGAATTTTTCAGGGCAAAAAGAAGAGGTTCAAATATTTTTACCTTGAAGATTTTAAGGCCAATATAATTAAAATGGGATAGTTATAAGGACTCCAGGTATGTACAAGGCCATTCCTTGGACCATGATATCTGCTTACTTTTCTTACAGAAGCTGGAAAGTAAGAGGCTTCATTAACTACCTCATGTGATGTGAGAACTGACCACTCTGGAGGGAAGCTGTTACTCAACAAACATTCTCAGCACTCTTAAGGGCTAAACACATAGAGAACGATTGTGGCCAGGCAGTCACATGGGCCCTGTCCTTTGCAGTGGAGGTAAGCAAAACATGAGCAATAGTCATGTATAAATTAAGATCTGATATCACTTTCCAAATCAGCAGCAAACAAACCAAAGAACTAGAAATTATCTCACATAAGTTTTGACATTTGTTACCAGTAGTTACATTGACAAAATTAAGTGTATGGAAAGAAATATCAAAATATACACTAATTTTATTAAGTTATAATTTTTCCATATTTAAAATTGACAGGCTGGGCACAGTGGCACACGCCTGCAATCCCAACACTTTGGGAGGCTGAGACAGGAAGATTGCTTGAGGCCAGGAGTTCAAGACCAGCTTGGGCAACACAGCAAGACCCCAACTCTACAAAAAGTTTTTGAAAAAATTAGCTGGGCATGGTGGTGCAAACCTGTAGTCCCAGCTACTGTGGAGGGCTCAGGCAGGAGGATCCCTTGAGTGTGAGCAACAGAATAAGACCCTGTCTCTTAAAAAAAAATTGACCAAAAAACCCTGATGAAACAAACTTACTCAGAGTTCAAAGACTAGCTATTTTTTTTAGTGGAAGTACAATTTTTCTTTTGACAAACTTCAATAATCAATTAGAATCCATTACCTCTGTGATACATATTAAAATGAATATTTCAAACTAGTCTCTTCCAGATCTTAAAAATTCACTGTGAGGAATTTCTAAGGCCCTTACTGCCAAACCTAACATAAAAGAATCAATACTGGAGCAGAGGTAATAAATGCTAACACAGAATCTACAGTTCAATATAGATGAGAACCACATTGAAATGAACATGATGAGTACAATATGGCAGCATTGGTAGAAACAGGTCTTGATATCAAAATAACTAGTGATTCATAAGGTATTTAAGTCACTGACCTAAGTAATTACCTAAATATCTCAGCTTAGGCTTATTTATCTGTAAAACTGGAAAACCCATCTTACTAAGTTCCGAGGATGTTCTGAGGACACATGATTACAAATCCATGTACTGTGATGAGTCCTTATACAATGAATTTGGATGACACTATGATGTCATTAGACACAGCTTACTGCACTACTAACTCTGAGTATAGAAAAAGAAAAAGCTTGTATAATACTAGCGAAATTTTCAAAGACATTCAAATTATAGCATTGAGAACTATCTCTCATCTTGAGTCAACTAGATACTAAGTTAGGTGTTCTCACATAAAACAATGTCAGAATTTTCATAACCAGGCGTGGTGGCACATGCCTGTAATCCCAGCTACTCGGGAGGCTGAGGCAGAGAACTGCTTGAACCCGGGAGGCGGAGGTCGCAATGAACCTAGATCGCATCACTGCACTCTAGCCTGGGCGAAAGAATGAGACTCTGTCTCAAAAAAAAGAATGTCAGAATTTTCAAAAACCCCATCTTATAAAACTGTGAGTGACAATTCTGAGTGCCAGAGGCCTGTAATTGGTACTGATTCAAGTAACTGTCAATGTCTGTCCTACTGTTACCTTCCAATAAACAACTATGCTGGAAATCAAATCTTTCAAGACTCAAATGGTTTAAGAATTCAAGGTGTCGGCCGGGCACGGTGGCTCACACCGGTAATCCCAGCACTTTGGGAGGCCAAGGTGGGCAGATCACGAGGTCAGGAGATCGAGACCATCCTGGCCAACATGGTGAAACCCTGCATCTACTAAAAATACAAAAATTAGCTGGGTGTGGTGGTGCGTGCCTGAAATACCAGTTACTCGGGAGGCTGAGGCAGAAGAATCCCTTAAACCAGGGAGTAGGAGGTTGCAATGACCTGAGATCACTCCACTGCACTCTAGTCTGGTGACAGAGAGAGACTCCGTCTCAAAAAAAAAAAAAAAAAAAAAAAAAAGAATTCAAGATGCCAAATTTCTGACACTTGCCCACATAAATTTTATGGCTGGAATATGGAGTTACACTAGCCTGCTTAAAATGACTGTGTGTCGACATTCAATCCATTTTATAAAGAGGAGAATTTAAATAGTATTGCCACCATTTAACTAAGTTTTCCTAAACTGGTAGTGATTCTGCAGTTCCATCGGCAATTGTCACCCAGTTTCAGTCTCCTCATAAAACACCACACATTTGTGGGGCAGTTGGCAGGGGTTATGCTGCAGCCAAATAAAGTGAAGCTACCTAGAACTGAACCAATGGTCATTTGGCAAGGACACCTGAACTCTGAAGCACTCTGTAAACAGCTGAATGTTTCTAGTAATACTCCTATGAAGTTTCAGTACTGAGCCATCCATTATATTTCATTGCAAACTATTTGTCGCCTTAAAAACAAGAAAACGGCAAGACAGTTCCCTGGCTGAGTCAGAGTCTCGATCAGTCGCCCAGGTCGGAGTGCACAATCTCGGCTCACTGCAAACTCCACCTCCCGGACTCAAGCGATCCTGCCACCTCAGCCTCCCCAGTAGCTGAGACCACAGGCTGGCGCCACCACGCCCGGCTGTTTTTGTTTTTTTTGTAGAGACCGGGTTTCGCCATGTTGCCCAGGCTGGTCTCGAGCTCAAGTCATTCACCGGCCTCTGCCTCTCAAAGTGCTAGGATTACAGGCATGAGCCACGGCACATGGCCAGTTCCCTGGTTTAAAAAAACTCACAAATCTAGTCCAATTAGTCTTAAGCGTTACCTACCACCTGGGGCAAGACCCAACTTAAAACTGGGAGGGGCGCCTCTCAACAGTTAACCTAGTACCAGTGATTTCGTCTGAGAATCTTAGGCTTTTAAAGCTCAAGTCCAAACCTTTATTCTACAAATAGATTTTAAAGTAAGGGCTTATGGTCTGGTTACAATCGCTAATTCTTGCACTGTACTATGTACTTAGTACAGTTATAAGTGCTTTACACCTGTTTACTCCTTTAATCCTCCCAACGAACCTGAAGCAGAGCGAAGTCAAGTAGTTTGCCCAAGATAACACAGCTATCAAGTGACGAGGTTAGAATTCAAATCTAAGCAGCAAAGCTTCAGAACCTATAGTCTTAAACCACCAGACTCTACTGCTCTGCTAGGGCTCAGAGTTCTAATGTGAGAAACGAATCCTCTATAGTGCTTTTTCTCAATCCCACCATCGCAAAGAATTGCAAACCTCTGACTCAGAAGTTCTTCCTGGGTGCATCCTTAAGTAATCTGACTTTTGCATCCAAAATGGGTAACCTCTCTGGAAAACTAAAAGATGCAATGGCCAATCTGAAAAGAACTCATGTTTCCCGTTAGTGGGATTCTGTTTTGTTGTTGTTGTTGTTGTTTTTATTGCAACACCTGAAACGCCTTAAAACACAAGCAAGCAGGCTATCAGCCATTTTCCTGAGAACAGCAAACACCTATTACACTTTCATGATGCCTAAATTGATGAATCTGAGCTAAAACAGGAACGGCTGTCTTTTCCCCAGCTGTCCCTAATATATTTGGAAGAAGGTAGACTCAGTTTATGCATGTGAAAGTATGTGAGAAATGAGGGGGAAGTGGGGGGTGAGGAGGCTATTCATTCCTCCATCTCTCCAAAGCGTGGCGACTTAGACTCAGACCCTCCTGCTAGAACTCAAAACCAGTATCACACACCATTTCTGCCTTGGACGGCTTCAGTGCCTCTCCAGGCTGTAGGGAGGTAGCTACGTGGCGCTAGGAGGACTTCCCCCAGCCAGAGAGGAGGTGGCAGCCCCAGCTGGTGGCATCCCCTCGCCCGGGGCCCCGCGGCAGAGGGCGCCAGGAGCTTCCCGGGGATCCCCTAAGAGGGCAAAGTCTGAAGTGACTGGCCTGGAGCCGCAGGTGGGCCAGGGCCTGCCTAGCACCCCTTCACAGCCTCTGCGACCACCCCTGCCAAACCAACCTCCCAGCCTCAAGGGTTAGCCGACTCGCCGGGGCCGGCGCCGGGCTCCTGAGGCAAAGGCACCCAAGACGGACGCTATATTCTGTGGGACACTCACCAGGTTGAGGGGTCCTTCCATTACTTCCATAGACCCCGGGGTAAGCGGCGGCCTTAGGAAGGGGAGTAGTGGCGCCGGGGAACATGGAGGGGACTGCTGGGGAGCGCGACGCAGCCGCAGAGACTGCGGCCCCTCTCTGCGCCCCAAGAGCCAGCGGTAGGCGCTGAGTGAGCAACAACCTCACCACTTCCTCCTCCGGCGCCGCGCCGCGGGCCCGCCCCCTGCGCCACCGCCGCGGCCACGTACGGCGCCATGACGTCACACGCGCAAAAGGCTGGTTCAAGGTGGGAGTGAGGACAGGCAGTGGGTGGGGCCCAGGGAAGGTGGGGCACCAGCTGGCGTACGCTTGCGAGCAGTCAGTCTTTCCTCTCAGGAGAAGCGTTAGTTCATATCTTAAGAAGTCTACTCTGACGTCACGTGAGGGGGTATAGCCTTGTTGTTGAAGAATTGAAATGGCTGTCTTCTGCAATTGGCTTCTCACTTTTCCTTTTAGACTGACTTTTCCTTAAATCTGCTCATCGTTACACCCTTACTTGTACTCCCATCCACACCTTTATCCTTGTACAGGATTCATTTTTACAAAAGGCTGATTTGAGCAATTCTAGACCATGCACTGGACTAACCCCCCTAGAGGTCAGCAAGCTTGAATGATTTAGGGCTCTGCCCTCAAGTTGCTCACAAACTGATAGGGAAAATGATTTTGGTCTAGCCAAATACAACACTTGATTCATTTAACAAGTATGTGCCAAACCAAAGCTAAGTCCTTCTGTCATGGAATTCACTGACAAACGGTTGTGATTTATGCTGGAAAGGGAACACATAGGGAGCTGTGATACAGTAACCAAGATGGAGTTGGGTGGTAAAGGAAAGCCTCTGGGGAGGGCGTGTGATTTTTTTTTGAGAAGGGGTCTTGCTGATGCAATCTCCACTCACTGTGACCTCCCTCTGCCCGCCCCCTGCCCCAGGCGATCCTCCCACCTCAGCCTCTTAAGTAGCTAGGAACTACAAGTGTCCAGGCTAGGTTAATTTTTGTATTTTTTTGTTGTTGATGTTGAGACAGAGTCTCGCTTTGTCGCCCAGACTGGAGTGCAGTGGCCGGATCTCAGCTCACTGCAAGCTCTGCCTCCCGGGTTCACGCCATTCTCCTCCCTCAGCCTCCCGAGTAGCTGGGACTACAGACGCCCGCCACCTCGCCCGGCTAGGTTTTTGTATTTTTTAGTAGAGACGGGGTTTCACCGTGTTAGCCGGGATGGTCTCGATCTCCTGACCTTGTGATCCGCCCGTCTCGGCCTCCCAAAGTGCTGGGATTACAATTTTTGTATTTTTTGTAGAGATGGGGTTTCGCCGTGTTGCCTATGCTGGTCTTGAACTCCTGAGCTCAAGTAAGCTCGAATGATCCGCCCTCCTGGACCTCACAAACTGATGGGATTATAGGCATGAGCTACCGCACTTGGCTAAGGGTGTAATCTTTAAGATGAAACCTTAAAATGCCAGTTAAACAAAGACACTTCTCGACAAAGGAAATGTCTTATGCCTCAACTTTAAAGGCGGGGAGGTGGGGTTGGGGGAGCTACAGCATTGTTAGGATGTCAGAGAGAGGCAAAAGAAGATACCAGAGAGATAGGAAACTTCCAAAATATAGGTGGCCTTGTAGTGCACAATGAAACATTTGAATTTTACTCAAAGTGCATTGGGAAATAAGTAAAGGATATTAAGCTAGAGAATAATCTGCTTTAATTTACAGTTTTGAAAAAATTAATGTCCCTGTAATGTGAAGAATAGATTGTGGAAGGTCTAAGGGAAAAGAACCAAGACAAGCTAGTTGATTGACTAATTATGGGAGCTTAGACTGGAATGGAGGTAGGGAAGATTCGGTCATGCCTCCACTCTTTACATAGTTATTGTGTTTCTACCATGTATCAGAAATTTTGGAAGAGAAGTAGATATATTCAAGATATATTTTTGGGCATCAAGTTGAGCAGAGTTGGTGAGGGACTGGAAGTAAAGCATACAGAAAATGGAAGAATCAAATCTTGTATTTAAACAATCAAGTGGCCTGGTGCACTGGCTCACACATGTAATCCCAGCACTTTGGGAGGTCGAGGACAGCAGATCACTTGAGGCCAGGACTTCAAGACCACCCTGGCCAACATGGTGAAACTTCGTTTCTACTAAAAACACTAAAACTTAGCCGAGTGTGGTGGTGCATGCCTGTAATTCCAGCTACTGGGGAGGCTGAGGCAGGAGAATTGCTTGAACCCAGAAGGCAGAGGTTGCAGTGAACTGAAATCAATCACACCGCTGCATTCCAGCCTGGGCGACACAGAGAGACTCTGTCTCCAACAATAAAAAAATTAAATTAAAAAAGTAAACAACCAAGTGGACAAGATAGTGAGAGATAGGACTAGCTGGATTTCCTAGGCCAACTAAGAATTCCTAAGCCTAGCTGGGGAAGGTGACTGTACCCACCTTTAAACACAGGGCTTGTAACTCAGCTCACACCTGATCAATCAGGTAGTAAAGAGGGCTCACTAAAATACAAATTAGGCTAAAGCAGGAGATAAAGAAATAGTCAAATCATATATCGCCTGAGAGCACAGGGGGAGGGACAATGATCGGGATATAAACCCAGGCATTTGAGCAGGGAGTGGCAACCCCCTTTGGGTCCCCTCCCATTGTATGAGAGCTCTGTTTTCACTCTATGAAATCTTGCAGCTGCACATTCTTCTGGTCCATGTTTGTTACAGCTTGAGCTGAGCTTTCGCTAGCTGTCCATCACTGCTGTTTGCTGCCGTGGCAGACCTGCCGCTGACTTCCACCCCTCTAGATCCAGCAGGGTGTTCACAGTGCTGCTGATCCAGTGAGGTGCCCACTGCTGCTCGTGATTGGGCTAGAGGCTCACCATTGTTCCTGCGTGGCTAAGGGCCCAGGATTCGTCCTAACCAAGAGGGAGTCTGATCAGTTGGTTGGGGGCCTCAGGATTTTATTTTTCTCACCTCTTTTTTCATCACACCTCAGGTCTGTTAACTGTGTCTGAGAGGTAGGTGGTGATGTCAATGCTTACAGTGGGATATGGCCAAACTGCAGGTCTAGGATAACATTTGGCTTATGCTACTGCTCAGAGTCTGGTTTTAGGTCTCCACTGAAAGAATCAGAAGATGTAGTCGGTGAATTCTGGACATACAGGTCTCCCATAAACTGTCATTCACTCTCCCCGAGTTTCCTTGGTGGTAGTAGGTTAGTACTAACCCTACCTCCACCAGACCTGAGGCCCAGCTCAAAATGGCACTGCCTCCATGGTCTTCTGTGGCCCAACATCTAAAAGAAACCTCCGCCCCCTTGGCACTACCTTTACTTCCCTTCAACATTACTTTTTGCCTTATTTATAATTTCATACCTCAAATGGGTACTCAGCATTACCCACAAAATAAATGGTTTCTCTCTTAGGTTGACTTTCCCACTCTGAGGCTTTCTTTTGTTAAGTTTAGTGTAAAGCTGCCTCTTACATACTTTAAGTTTGGCCTAAGGTTTCTCCGTAGTGAACTGTAACCTCACTGGATGTGTAAACAAACTGTAACCCACTCTTGTAACAAGGAGCTGAGTCTCAGCCAATCACCGCAGCCATACTTCAACCATTCACAGGTGGCCAACCGTACGAACTGTGTTCAAGGTAAACACCCAAACTTTAACCAATCCACCTGTTTCTGCACCTCCTTCCTATTTTCTGTACATCACTTTCCTTTTTCTGTCCATAAATTTTCTCCCACCACACAGCAGTAGTACAGTCTCTCTGAATTTATTCTGGATCAGGGAGTCTGCCTGATTCAAGAATCATTCTTTGCTCAATTAAATTGTTTTAATTTGTCTTAAGTTTTCCTTTTAACATTTCTAGATAAACTCTATCCCCTCTGTTCTCAGTTAATAATTTTACTTCATACTTAATTTTTTTTCTTTTTTTCTCTCTTCTTTTTGTTTTAATTATACTTGAAGTTCTAGGGTACATATGCACGACGTGTAGGTTTGATACATAGGTATACATGTGCCATGTTGGTTTGTTGCACCCACTTCATTTTTTTTTTAAATCAGTAATTGGGCCAGGTGTGGTGGCTCATTCCTGTAATGCCAGCACTTTGGGAGGCTGAGGCGGGTGGATCACCTGAGGTCAAGAGTGCAAGACCAGCCTGGCCAACAAGGGAAACCCTGTCTCTACTAAAAATACAAAAAAGTGTCTGGGCAAGGTGGCTCACGCCTGTAATCCTAGCACTTTGGGAGGCCGAGGTGGGTGGATCACCTGAAGTCAGGAGTTCAAGACCAGCCTGGCCAACACGGTGAAACCCCGTCTCTGCTAAAAATACAAAAAAAAAAATTAGCCATGCATGGTGGCACACACCTGTAATCCCAACTACTGGGGAGGCTGAAGTAGAAGAATCACCCCTGGGAGGCGGAAGTTGCAATGAGCTGAGATTGGGCCATTGTACTCCAGCCTGGGCAACAAAAGCAAAAGTCCATCCAAAAAAAAAGCAGTAATTGGCTTCAAATCCCCACATTTTCTCCATAAGTACACAAGTACTTTCATATGTTCATCTTTTCTTTTTCCTACTTGTTAAAATGGAGCAAGCATCCTTCCTTCCCATGGCCAGTTTCTGTACTTGGGCTCTAAGTTCCATTCCTCCTTCATATTCTCAAGGAACTTCATTGATACAGTCATCCTATCTACATCACCTATTGTCTTCCTATTGCATATTTTTATGTATCTCACTTTGATTCCTTCCACCATTGTCCCATTTTTATCCTCTATGGAATGTCTTGGATTTCCTTACTTCACTGGCTCTGCCTTCCTCTTCTCCCATATGTCTAATTGCTGGCTCCTCAGCAGCACTTCTAGGTCTGCTGCTCTTTTCTGCAGCAGAAAATGAAATGTGGCCAGGCACTGTGGCTCACGCCTGTAGTCCCAGCACTTTGGGAGGCCAAGGCGGGCAGATCATCTGATGTCAGGAGTTTGAGACCAGCCTGGCCAACATAGTGAAACCCCGTCTCTACTAAATATACAAAAAAAAAAAAAAAAAGAAAAATTAGGTGTGGTGGCACGTGCCTGTAGTCCCAACTACTCAGGCAGGCTGAGGCAGGAGAACTGCTTGAACCCGGGAGGCAGAAGTTGCAGTGAGTCAAGATCCTACCATTGCACTCCAGCCTGGGCAACAGAGGGAGACTCTGTCTCAAAAATA